CCCCACAGGATGTGCAGATGTGGCTGCGCCTCTGATTCACTCCAGCTGCTTGGGGCCTGGAAGAAAGGCAGCTTCCTCTCCTGGAAATGACTGCATTCGCTCAAGCCCTCAAACAATTCCATTAGAAAGCGGAAAGGGAAAGGCGCGAGAGAGGCCGCGAATGCTTTCGCGTGGTCCTTCCCGCTGAAGTAAGGGGAAGGGTTCCCAGAATTCGGGACCCCCGTTTAAGGAAGATCTGGAGTCCTTTTCCGTGTGCCTCAGTCCTTGAGGCTTCCTGGACCCTTGCCTTGTTACGGCTGAGAATACCCCGAAGCTAGGAAATCCCGGAACTGAGTGTCCTGGTGGTGTTGTGAACATTTTGGACACTCAGCATGGGCATTTTGGTGGCATTGCTCTTCCCTTCCGGGCTGGGAGGCAAATGTCCAAATGTTCTGGGAGAAGACTTTCCTTACCTTCATCACTGAAGGAGTCGAATGTCAGACACTGAAGTAAAAATTGTAACTGGAGCAGCAAAATCTCAGACGTTTCCAAAGACATCATCCAAAAGGGCAGTAATCAGTGGGAATCACCCAGCTTAGAAAAGGACATAACATTTCCAATCTGTCACTTGCTTTTAAGCAATCTGTTTGTCCCCTGATCTCTGTGAATTAAAGATAATGCTCTTTCATGAGATCATTACTGTTTTCTGAGCTTTGCTCATCGAAAAGCAGGAATGTTTCCACAGGTGGGAGGAAATGGATTGGCAGAGAATCTGTCTGATGAAACTGAGTAACTCTGGGTGCATCTGTGTAAAAGGCTTGGAGTGTGTTTGTGGAGCATGGACCCCTTTGTAGCTTCTCATTGCTCTTATGTGAATCAGGAAGAAGCCTGTCTCTCCTTTAGCAACAGTTTGGACACATGACTTTATTCACATCTTCATGCTTGGGCTTCTTACTCGTATCTGTGAGCCTTGTTTGCATTTCAAACTTCACTCATTCACTCATTTATAGGCGTTAATATACTGCTAGGCTCAGAGGATCCAGGAATAAAATAACTGCTACTAAGAGTCTTAAAGTCAAATGAGCATAACAGACAAGCCATATGAGTTACACGAGAGAGGCACATGCTAGAACAGGTGGGAGCAGAGAAGAGAGGCCTGTGAATCAGATCTGTGATGGCGGAAGCATCTCCACTCCACTCCAGGCCTTTGCCTACTGAGTAACAGAAAGGAGTTAGTTAATGGGGCGTAGGTCAGAAATCTGACTCCTGGGAGAAGGACGGAATTGCAGCTGCCAGGGAGGGCAAATGAACCTTCCTTGGAAGAAAGTGCCAGTGTGAATGACATGGAAAAAAAAAACCCACTGGGTCCCTGAGCCTGCTCTGGCCCAGCGTTACTACAGATCGTTGTAATTACCTCAATCTATAGGGTATTCACAAAACAATAAATCGAATTCCCATTTACAGAGTATGTGTGAGTATCCTAAGACCACTGTTGTTCTTCCTGCATACCTGGTAAATGTGTTTTTGTAAAGGACAGGGAACAGTAACCAAGGTCCTTAGCAAATAGAGGGTAGTCCCCACTCTTGACACTGTGATGTCATAAATGAAGAAATATATATATATATATGATAGCTGTGAAGGTCATCCTGAAATGGTAGCAGTCCAGCATATCAAAGCTAAATACTGTTTTGAGTTGTGGAATCTCCATATCTGTGCTATGTCATGATCTTCTGAGCCTCACCTAATTATATTTACTTGTATATTGCATTGACCAGTAATTACTTTTTCTGTTCGAAGAGAGGAAAGGGAAGAAAAAAATATTAACATGCCCAAATTACAATGAAAGGAAGTGAGTGGGTTGCTGGGCTCTGATTTTCGTGGCCAGGCAGAGAGACTCCTGTTTTGTCAAAAAGAGGAAATTAGACATCATGGTTTAGAATCCTCGGGGAAGGAGAGCTGAAGTGTACCAGTCACATCCAGCAGCCAGTCAGCCCAGCACACACACAAAATTCTCAACCTCCTAAGGGGTATACCCAGGTTTTGCGGCGGCCTAAAATAATACAATTTTGGAGGCTCACTTTAAGAAAAATAATACCCAATTACAAGTGCTAATTAGGTATCAGGGTCTTGGAAGGGGCCAAGTGAGTTGGGGACCACAAAGCTGAAGTTTCATTCGCTTCACTCTAAACCCACCTCTCAGGCCTCCTCATGTAACACACTTCAGACTCTGCCACTCCTGTCCCCTTTTCCCCAGAGAAGGCGAACTTCAGGCTATTAAGGCATAGGGGGTGCAGTTTATGAGCAGAGGCAATAAAAACCGAAGACATAAGGCCGTGCCAAACGGTGACTCAAGCGGGATATGAGAAGTGTCTGCAAGTATTTGAAGGGTGGAAGCCGAGAGAAGGGAAAAGAATTGTTCACTGTTCTGGGTGGAAAGAGAATGAGGATACAATTAAGTAAAGAAAAATGTGCACAAAACTCATCAGGAAACATTGGCTAACTGTATTTTCTGATACTGTGGAGTTGTATTTCCCATGGGAAGTATTTGAGGATCTATTGAGTCACTGAAAAATTGGAACTGGCCGCAAGAAAAAAAAAGTGCTACAGGAAACAATCGTACAAGACGAACTCCAGGGAGCAGCTGGATGCCCCCAAAGTTCATTCTGAGCCCTAAATTCCATAAGGCTGACACATGGCATTCTGTAGATTAGCATGCGGGGAGGAGGTCCAAGGACAGAAAAAGAGAACAATCCTGCAGGGAGGAGCAGCCACCTCCCTGCCTGGTGTGGGAAGCACGTGATGGAAGAGGAAACTATGAGGAGATAGCGCCACCCAGCGTTGCGATGAAACTACATAGTCAGTAAACAGTGATCACAAAATTCCCGCTCCCTTCGCCCAAAGGAGAGCCAATTCTGTCACAATGAAGGCAGGGTCATTGGGCCATATGGAAAATGTGCCCAGAGATAGCACGTGTTCATCAAATTTGCTTGTTCACGTCAGTCTGAGGAGAGTAGAGGATGAATGTGGAGACAAAAGCAGTATCCAAAGAGACTCATTTGGCTGGGACATGGACTCATTCACAGCCTCTGAAGTTAAGGGGAACCTGCCTTTGCTTCCCTAAACTAACTGCACAAATAGAGGGGGAAAACATGACTTCGTGGCAAATCTGGAAGAAGTAGAGGAAGGGCAGGGCAGGATACAGAGGGTTTCCTGAAGCAAGCCCCCAAATGAGTCAAACAGGTGTCATTTTACACAAATTCCCTGGGTATACACTAAGAGCTTTCTCAGGTTACTCATTCTGGGCCTCACCCCAGAACTACTATGGAATCTCAGGGTGAGGGCCAGGAATGTGCCCGTGTTCCAGACTTCCAGAGATTGTTCTGATGCTTGGTCAGAATGGAGAACTACTGCTCTAGAATGAAGGCGAGGCCTTTGAGGAAGTTACAGTCAAGACAAAAATACTGTAATGATCATGGAATACGGAAAGTGTCACAAGAGAGGTACAGCGTGACAAGGACAGAGAGGAAGGAATGATCTTAGGAAGAAAGGAAACAGTTTCAAAGAATGAACAACTTTTGATACGAATCTTGATGCGCAGCAGGTGGTTTACCAGGTAAAAAGAGATTGAAGGCATTCCAGGCAGAAAGAAGAGCATCAGAGAAGGCACAGAGGATGAAAGTCCATGGGATGTTTGGACGATCACAAGCAGTGGCAGAATGTCTCCCAACCTTGTCATCTTAATTCATGAGTACAATTTTGAGGACAGAAAGAACAATTTGGACTTCTGGGTAACCGGCAGCAAGAACAAACACAATTAACCCCTTATTGATTTGTCAGATGCCTTTTGTTAAGTTTTAGAAACTCTTTTTTGGAAAATTATTTTCATTCCTTTGCCTGAAGGTTGGGATAGATACAGTAAGTAGCCATAGCATTACTGACCCTGGAATATCTTTATCTCCAATCCTGTTCCAACTGCGTCTTCACTCCCTCCCCACCCAACTCTGTCTCATGCACTTTCCCTTTATGTTCCGTGGGGTGGAGGAAGGTACTTAAGAATCCTCACTAAGCTGGGCTCGGTGGCTCAGCCTGTAATCCTCCGCCTTTGGGAAGCTGAGGTGAGTGGATTGCCTGAGCCCGCGGATTCGAAACCCACCTGGGCAGCAAGACCTCATCTCTACAATAAATCAAGAAAAATAACCGGGCGTGGTAGCGTGTGCCTGTAGTTCCAGCTACTTGGAAGGCTAAGGTGGAAGGATCGCAGGAGCCCAGCAGGTCGAGGCTGCGGTGGCCGGAGGTGGCCACTGCACTCCAGTTTGGGCGACAGTGAGACTCCAACTCAAAAAAAAAAGAATCCTCACCTTTTAATTGCTAACTAAAAAGTGGAAACCACCATGAAACAAAGAAGCTATTTGTTGTTCATGGATCGTGAGGTTCTGACATTGCA